TATTTCAGATTAACAGTTAAGAACCCACATCTTTTTCCCCAACTATTCTGTAAAAAATGGGTCTCTCATTTCGAGGCAGATGAGGAAATAAATTTTTTTTTTATTTTATTTTCAATTTATTGAGCACATGTAACACGATTAAAAGCGCCAATGTGGTTGTCACTGACTGACCTGAAGTGAGATTTAGTGATTAGTGCCAATGGTACTAGCAAATTTGAGAGGGCAGCATTTCTAACTACAAACCTATTTTCTGAAATGTGGGACTCTGGCTTGATGAATACAGAGAAGGCCAGGTGAAAACCCGATGGTGGTTGGTGAATTCTGACATCCTCAGCCCCCACCAGAAACCAACCAAGATGAAAAACTGAACTGCCATAATTTTACACACTGTTAAGTCTGACACCATAGTCTAAGTTCAAAGAACTCTGAGATACAGCATGGAAGGTTAGTGAGGTTCTCATACTCTCTAAAAAGTCAGCATAGACAGCTACTGCTCACTGTAGCCCATGAACATCACAACCAAGAAAACTGAGGAGGAAACTTCCTTGTCATTATTTATGCCTTCTCTACACTGGTCAAATGGGATAACAGAATGTTGTTCTCTTAAATGACCTGTCTTACTGAGCCAACATCTTCCTTAGGAGATATCTAGCACACTGTCTTGAGGTTAATCCCTATCAAGTGTCACACCATGGGTATAAATCAAACCCCAAATTTCCTATGTTCAGTGGTTTGCTTCAGACTCTACTTTTGTTTTTTCCTGTTATATTATCACCTGTATTTTCTTCACTTGATATGCTGCAGTCTATCTCTGCAGATTTCAAATATAAGGAGCTCTTGTTTTTCATTAGGATTTCTTCATCACCATTTATTTCCATATTCAAAGATCCATTTTCACAATTGTTAAACTCCACTTGCCTGAAAATTTTTTAAAAGGAAAAAAGTCGGAAAGTCCAGTTATTTGGCCGTCAATAGATCACCCAGGTAGATGTTATTCAGAGGGATGGGACAATCACCTTTTTAACACCCATTAAAAAAAAGAATTGTTAAACCAAGCCAAATCTCAGCCTCCTGCCTCCAAGGCAGGTGTCTGCATGAGATGGGTGCAGGCCAGCCTCAAGGCTACAGTTTAGAAATCAAAGAGTCATTAATGGCTCTTTCTACACCCTCAGCTGACCCGATCTTCCTGCTTCCCACCAGCATCAGGAAATAGTCATTGACAGTTCCATAGTCTTCAATCAGCTTTCTCCAGGTGCCACATTTAACACTTTTTTGACTTTCTTCAGCTTCTCCCTAGGAGGCTTTTTCTCTCTCTGGCCACTTACACCTCTAAGTGTTTGTCTAGCAGTTAACTATTTACAAGCCAGATGCTCTGGTCAGGGAAGAGTACTCCCTGCAAAGTATGTCTGAGAGGAAAAAAAAAAAAAAACAAAACCAAAAAAACCCAGGAGGACCACAGCACATCCCAAGGGATTTGTCAGCATTTTAGGGTAACAGAAAAAGCTAATTAATATGCAAGTGGAACAGCTGATTCTACTTGTTAAAGTGACAATCATGATATTTTATTGTAGGTGATTATACCTAGCCAAATTAAAACAAAAATATTTTCTTCTAATAAAATTAAGGGGAAAGGGTCCAAGCTACATGGTGACTACAGGAAAAGCATTTGCTATTTTTTTAAAAAATACCATATTTCAAACTAGTAATTTAAAATGTAAGAGTACACAGAAACAACATTTCCAAAGAAAAAAAATCTACAAAGATATACCTAGTGGAAACATTTAGAACAGAAGAAAATTGGAAACAACCAAATTGGGAACAATCTTTGTAATAGGGAAGCAAACAATAGTATATAAAGAGATGAATTATTAAATAATAATTTCAAAGGACAAATATATGGACTATGTCAATACATGGGAATGCCTATGTGAAATAACTGAATAGAAATTTCATTGACTATGTAAATGTGTACTTTTTTTTTAATTGAAGAAGCATTTAGAGGAACAGAAATAGTTTACATTTTGATATTAAGTTCTTTTTCCAACCTGTAAGCCTACCTAAGACCTTTATTTTTAAACAAAACAAAATAGCACTACCATTTTTTCTGGATAAA